CACGAATATCTTTACGATCCCGCGCTGCTAAACGAACTTGTTGCTAAGATGCGCAGCAATATGAAATTGGACTGGGACCGGCATCGAATGTCAAATGATGGTAGTAGTTTGGCCACCTTTGATAACTGGCTGTTTAATGTGGCTATGTGCGTCACTATGGTCACGCCCTATGAGATACCACGGACTGATAACGAAAAGAAGAACTCCATGAAAACCACTAGAGAGCGAATTTTTGTGCACAATACGGTAACCACCGTCTTTCAGATTGCGTCGACCTTAGAGCCATGGGTACAAAAAAGGGGTGGGAACTTGTCAAGGCATCTATGCGGCATCGTGCACAACAGTGTAAAACAAAGAAGAAATGTCACGTGGATGGTTGCGCGTCAACGCACCATGTACTGCTACATACGCCTACTACGAGCGGAAGTAAAGTCAAGCACACGGGCCAGGGTAGCAACAATCGGGCTAAGTCAATGGAGTCTGCCGTTATGTTTCACGGCAGCTCCGCAAGTAAGACACTGTTTCGTTATGTTCTAATCACGCTCTATAGTATATCAAAAAGCGTGCGCGCATATGCATTAGTGGATGAAGGAGCTGAGTGTACGCTAATACAAAGAGCGCTTGCAGACGAGTTGGAACTAGATGGTCAGGTGACCCAGCTGTTTCTCAAGTGGACAGGCGACATAACCAAAAACCTTAGTCTATGTCTGTGGCTTGAGCATTTCAGCTCCACAGTATGCGTTGAAAAACGTGCGAACTGTAGCGATCTTGGACTTACCAGAGCAATGTATCGGGCCATAGTTGCTTAAGTCTCGGAAGTATTTATCTATGCTTCCCATCCTGCCGAATAACAATGTAAAGGCTCAGCTTATTATCGGCTTGGACAACATCAAGGTGAAAACGACGACGTCATAGCAGCGCGAAGCAGACTAGGATGGGCTGTATATGGCCGCCCTATGGTGCGTGAAAGCACCACACCTCGTCTGCTACATATTTGCGAGTGCAGTGCGACACGTGGGATGGATGAGGATCTGAAGAACTATTTTGCCCTGGAGTCACTAGGTGTGAGCGTCTCCTCAAATCCGCTGAGATCCAGAGAGGACGAACGCTCGATGCAGATAATGGAGGCAACAACAACTTATCTGGAAGACGAAAAGCGCTGGCAGACTGGCCTGCTATGGCGGTTTGATCGCATTTATATGCCCGACTCTTAGATGGCGGTTAAGCGCCTTAAATGTCTAGAGGCAAAGATGTTCAAAGACCCACCACTAAAGGAGTTCATGATGAACACGATGCACGACTATAAACAGAAAGGATATATCCGCCGGCTGAAGGGTAGTCAGTTAGTAGCTAACATGATGTCGTAGTTTCTTCCTTTACTGTCACCAATCCGAACAAGCTAAGGACACGTTTGGTATGGGATGCAGCCGCCAAAGTTAGTGGCACGTCGCTGAACGATGGTTTGCTTAAAGGCCCAGATACACCAGCATCTTTGATGGGCGTGCTAATACGCTTCAGAGAGCGCACTATCGCCGTATCCGGCGACATACGGGAAATGTTTTTTTTCAGGTCAAGGTGCGCCGAAAAGACCAAGCGGCTCAGAAGTTTCCCTGGCGTGATGGAGATTTGTCGCGCTCTCCCGAAACGTACGTTATGCAAGTCATGACGTTCGGAGTATCCTGTTCGCCAGCCCTAGCAAATTACGTCAAGAATCCTAATGCCGAGCGGTTCGTAGCGGAGAATCCGGATGCCGTAAAGGCGATTTGCGAAAACACATTTGTTGTTGCAGTCGGTAGATTCAGAATCCCAAATGATGCAGTTAGCTGAGACTGTAAAATAGATTCATGCTAGTGGCAGTTAGATGGCTAGATGCGCCACTGGACATCAAATTCAAAGCAAGTTATGCAGGCGCTGGAAGACGACTGTGAGGGCTTGGACAAGCGTATCAGCACTCAGGATGAAGCGCAAGAAAAGGTCCTGGGCCTGTGGTGGCTACCTGGACGAGATCTGTTGACCTTTGTGGTAAAGCCGAACTTGCTTGCGAAAGCATCTAAGGAGCGCCCAACTAAAAGACGCGTTCTAAGCGTGGTCATGTCTATTTTAGACTCGCTTGGGCTGCTAGGATTCTTTAATATACGCGATCATCCTTCAGAACATATGGCGATCCAACATCGGATGGGATGACGATCTACCAAAGAAGACGAAGTGGATTGGCGACAATGGCTAGATCTAGTTTCAAAGTTTAATACCGTCCGTATTCCACGGTGAAGTGGGTGAGTCGAATCCAGACTATTTAATACTGTCCGCATTCCACGGTGTATGAAGTGGGTGAGCCGAACCCAGACTGTACAGATGCACACATTCGTGGACGACAGTATTAATGCTTATGCAGCAGTTGTATATTTGCGGGCTGAACATGATGGCCAAGTAAATTGCAGTTTAGACGCCTCAAAATCGAGAGCAGCACCCTTGAAGCCCGTCTCTATACCTCGTATGGAACTTATGGCCGCAGACTTAGGTCTGAGACTGGCCAAAATGAACCAAAAATGAAATGTCGGTACGCATACATAGGCGAACATTTTGGACGGATTCACAGGATATGCTCCACTGGATCCAGTCCGATGCTCGAAAGTTCCTACAATTCGTATCGCTTCGCATCGGAGAGATTTTAGAACAATCAGATGTGGACAGCTGGCGCTGGGACCCATCAGCTCAAAACATGGCAGACGATGGCACAAAATGGACCAAACCGCCCGAAATTCACGGCTCGACCAGGTGGTTCAATGCACCACCAATTTTGTATCTAGAAGAATCGCAGTGACCACGCACAAAAAAGGGCTCGGCATTAAACATGTTATACTATGCTGAAGAACAAGATTGGCTTGTTCCTCTCACGTCCTCTTGGAGATGTATCCTGCCGGATCTGCAGCGCTTCAGCAAGCTGGAGAAATTGAGAGCAGCACGGCTATGCGTACTGGATTTTCTACAAATTGTTACTAAGAAGACCAAATTGAACGGGCGATTAGAGCTGCAGAAGATGCTGCTCCTTAAACGCAGCAAAGAAATGGATGTGATTTTTATTCGAATATGCCAAGAAGACGAGTTTTATAGTGAGACTACCTCCCTAAAGTCGGGGCGCCCCCTAACCGATCGCATAAAGCCTGCTCTTCAAGCTCTTTCATATAGATGACTCGGGCATTCTACGTATTAAGGGACGGATAGACAATATAGACGGAGTTGAAGTCTGCGTAAAAAGCCCGATAATTCTGCCAAGACGACATCGATTGACGTATCTGCTTGTTGAGTTTTAGCACCGCAAATATCATCACCTGCACAACGAAATCGTCGTAAACGAACTGCTTCAGCAGTACTGGGTCTGTAGCTTGCGAGCCTTGGTGAGAGAAGTCTGCAGTGCTTGCCCAGCGTGCCGTATAAGACGCGCCCGCCCAAAGCCATCAGAGATGAGTGACCTGCCAATCGAACGACTATCGCCCTATACTCCACCGTTCACATATACCGGAGTGGATTACTTTGGACCCTACGATATTGTCGTTGGACGGCGTCGTCAGAAGCGCTGGGGTGTGCTGTTCACATGCCTCACGGTACACGCCGTTCACCTAGATATAGCTACGTCGCGCTTAACTGACTCATACCTATGCGTTCTGAAGTCGTTCGTGGCCAGACGCGGCTGCCCCCGCCGCATGCTGTCGGACAATGGCAAAAATTTTACAAATTTCAATACTCGGAGGTGGAGTTTACCTTTATTCCACCAGGATCACCCCACATGGGAGGATCGTGTGACCGAATGGTGCGTTCCACAAACTCAATACTGTCGGAGATCCTGCCGCACTCTGGGCTACGCGACAAGGTGCTACGACAGACTAGGCAGGCGTAGAAAGCATGCTCAACTCAAGACCGCTCACTTATGTTCCCTTGAAAACTTCTGAGTCCGAAGCCCTGACCTATAAGACCATTGTCTTATAGGTCACTCAAGCGGATTGCGTGAGAGAGGCTCACGGGAACGGGACGGAGCTAGCTTGGCACGAGGCTTCCGAGTCGCCAGCCAATTGGCTGACCAATTTTGGAAGATATGGTTGAGCGAGTATCTGCCCACACTCACCAGACGTACTAAGTGGTTCCAACCGCTAATCGAACCAATATCAGTCGATGACATCGTCATAATAGTGGACGATGGTGCCAAACGAAACTGTTGGACAAGAGGAGTGGTAGTCGTCGTGTACCGTTCGAAAGACGGCCTGGTCCGAAGCGCCGTGGTGCGAACCGCCGATGGAATTATTACTCGCCCCGCCGTCTAGCTAGCAAAGCTTGACATTAAAGTTGGTAACACACTGCACGGACGTTCGTGAATTACACGGTGGGGAGTGTTATGGGGCGAAGTGAAAATGTCTATTGTCACTAAGTCCTACTGGGCATCGCATTTTTCTGTAAGCGGCGCTCGCTTCTTACGCTGGAAGTGCATCGTTAGAATTAGTTTGTACGTACAGAAGTCGATATCACGCAGCTGCACAATTTGCCTTTTCGTCGAAGTTCACTTTCGTTTTGTGCTTGCAGCTGAGCAGAAGTGTAAGAGAAGATAAGCGCGTGCGGAGCACGAATGTAAGTCTCATAAACTTGTTAAATATATGTAGATCATTAAATAATGAAAGATAATAAAGATTTCAGCCAATCGTACGTAGCGAATGTTGTTTCTTTTCCACGCTAGAAATCCCTGCGAAATATGCGCCCGGCGCGACTCTCGGCGTCAACATTGACAGTGGCGTGATATTTTGGGTGAATTGTTTATGTCTACCAAAGGGGGACAGTTTGATCTTGACCAATGTCGATGTTATCACCAGGCTCTTTGTTTACAATATTAGAAATGTTTATACTTGTGCTTATGCTTATGTGCTAAGTTATGTTAAAGGGTGGATGCGACTATGGATATGTCACTATATATATATATATATTTTACAACAAATAATAATTATTTTCCATTATACCTGCTGCAATTATATGAAATATGCATGGGACACGCTGTCTGCCAATCTTATTTGTGGCTACACAAAGTAGTGTACCGTAGTCCAGTTCAGTAAATGGCGTATATGTTAAAATCGATGTCGTACCTAAAAAAAATTTTAGAGCATTATAAGAGGCAAAAAAAGGGAAAAAAAATACAAAAAAATTACCCAAGCGATATATATGATTTGTCGCAACATCAACGTTTTCTGCAGAGTTGTTAAAAGTCCAACTAAAATCTACTTCATGAGGATTGGCGTCAACGACGCAATTTATTTGTGCTTCTTCCTGTTTTGCAACACCATAAACTTTCGGCTGGTTCTGAGCACAAGTTGGAGCGTCTATATAAATGTAAAAAACACAATAAGCTTTCAAAACAGATGCATTATTATATTACATTTTTAAAAAGCTTATAGCCTATTCCTTTATCAAGACCACTTACATTTTTTGCAGCACTTCGATGTTACAGTAGCTTCATTTTAATATTTAATTAGAAGCGTGATAAAATTTTCAAGCCGTAATTTTGCCACTTTAATTTACTGACAACACAACTTGTGAATGGAATCAAACAAAAATTGTGTATTGTGGAATCTTGCAATTTGAGGCTAATTTTGCGTCGGTAAACGAATCATAAATTAATAAATTTCGAAGAATGAGGTATATTCTTGGACATACCCATTTATAAACATAAAGCTTGTTTTATTGACAAGATATCTACCTTTTGAACGCATTCAAAAAGTGTATAATGATAAAAGTGTTTGTTTCACGCAAAAGGAAGAATTTTCAGACCCATAATGTATATATATTCTTTGTCGGCTTAAAGATGCCAAGTCTGTGAACCCATACTCGAATAGTACACACAGATCAAGTATGTATATATTTATGTATGCTAGCGGGTATAACCCGGCCTTGCATGTGGCACCTATAAATAAATTCACTCAAAGATATTTGAAAATGATTTTGAGAAATATGTGAAGCACGTCTCAAATGATTTTTCATAAAGATCAAGAATATGTATGCTTTATGGGATCGGATATGCTCCCTTCTGCCTGTTACATATATTTGCACAAATTCATTATACCCTTTTTATCCTTTGTTAATGGGTTCAGGGTGTAATAATAATACACGTTGATTATTATCCGATCGGCTTCAAAAACATTTTTAAAGATCTTTGTCAATATTCATCTGATGGGTGTTTTTTACTATTTGAAAAATCCGTTCCTCCTTTGTGGAAATTTGGGTCAAATAGTTGATGGACTACGTTTCACACTTTAATTCAATTCAATTCAAAGGTATATATGGAAAACAAGTAGGAGGATCTAGTCGAGAGCTCCCGACTAGGGGATACCCTGCACCCTCATATTCCAACACCAAATGCAGCTCGCGCTACGCGCTCATTTGCTTTCGTAGTAATAAAGATAAATTAATAATAAAAAAGTTCCCTTGGCAGGGGCAAGCACACATGTGCAGGCAGAGAAGTGGTGACAGGAGAGAAATAACATAGAAGAGACTCGAAAACTAACGGACGGCCATAAGACTTCTCGCTGAGTGAGCGATTTCGTTTAAGTGCGCTCACACACTAATATACGCTCACAAAGCGCGTGCCAACGCCTGAGCCTACTGTGTAATAAATGGCTTAGAGATAAATTGAAGGTTGCCGTATGGTGGTAAGGGGTTCTCTTTAGGCACAACGACAAAATAACAAAAGTGAGTTAAATCGCAAATGAACTGGGACAAAACAAGTGCGTTGACGTTTATTTTTACTTTTTTTTGTGTTCTGAAAAAAAATAACAATTATATAAAACGACCCAAACGTGCAGCACGGAGAAGAAAGAATAAAGTGAGAGTGGCTAATGAGAGTGAACATAGTACCACGGTGAAAGAGTAGACAAGTGCAGCGAAAAGTTACTGTAGTGTGAGGTAAACTAAAGTGCGACTTGATTTTGTTTTGTGTCTATAATAAATAATATAAATAAAATAGATAAAAATAAAATAATAATAATATAAAATAAAATAATAACACAAAATGGTTAATAATAAAAATAATTATAAATAAAATGCTAATTTAAAAAAAAATAATATAAAAGAAGATAATAATAATATAAAATAAAACAACATCGTTCAAAATGAAAATAGTTAAAATAAAATAAAAATAAAACAAGAACAAAATAATTAAAAAAATCAAGTAATTAAACAAAAAAATATAATTTAAATAAAAATAATCAAAATAGATATAATAAAAATAAATTAATTAATAATAAAAATAATTAAAAATAATAATAAGAAAAAAAAAATAAAATCAAGCTAAAATAATTAAAAATAAAAATAAATAGAATTAAAATCAAACTAAAGTAACCAAGTAACCAACAAGACGAACAATAAGGACAGACTAGCTTACGGAAATAGAAGCACAACCCAAAAGGAAACGAAATTCGGAGATCTATCATGAGATAAAAAAAGATAAGAGATTACGTACGAAACGGACGGATACGAGGGAGTGTCAAAATACAGAGGTGAGCGTGCGTTGGATCCACTTGCGACAAAAGGAGGAGCTGGAGGCGATCTCTCGCGAGTTCGGGTTGAGCGACCTAGGGCGGGTCGAAGACTTGCGTAGCCGGTTGGCAAGCTTCGTCAATGGGGGTTCGCACTCGGCCAAAGTATGGGCTCGGCTAGCCGAGCTAGAGGCCAAATACACCTGGACCCCCGAGCAGAAAGCCCAGCCCGAACCCAACCCCGTTGAATGGGATAGGCGGTCGAAATCCGAATCGGATTCTGGCCCACGTCTGAGCACTCCTGGTCTGCTCGAAGTCCCGGTGATCCCAGGCTATAAGGCCCATGAGGGGATACTGCATCGTACCCGAGCAAGTCAGGAAGTGGGGTGACGATTCGATTGACGGACTGATCCATTGTAATTCGTGGAAGCCATCGAGGTTCGGGCCCTGTCCTATGACATCGACCCAGATAGGTTATCTAGGCCGATGAATGATATCATGATCGGCGAAGCCGCTCGATTGTTTATAACGAGTGGGCTAAGAGATGTGTCATGGAATGAATTCAAGAAGGGATGTTTAGATTTCTTTTTACCCCCGCGGAAGTTTGAATTGTTAGAAGACAAAATCCGGGTTCGTCGTCAACGAGATGGCGAAGGATTCAAACAGTATGTGGTGGTTATTAGGGTGTTGATGCACCGAGCTGGCTACAGCCCTGAAAGAGAACTAAGTAGGGTATACGACAACGGAGCTCCAGAGTGTAAATTGTATGTGCGGAGACACGATTTCTCATCGCTGTCGAAGCTCATATAGCTAGCCGTCGAATACGAAAGAATAAAGCAGCAGGGTCAACAGTACCCGCCTGGTTTGCGACGTAGATTAGGGAATAGTATGGGCACGCTTCTAGTCGACGGGCAAGTGCAGGCAACAACCGGCATAAACAACCCGTTGAGGGGTAGCTTCATCGCTAGTCGGCGAAGTGGCTCTCAGCGGGGCAGTTCCACGGGCACTACCGGTACCGAGAGAAGAGGCTGGCAACAGGATCATTGGCCAAGAATCGGGTGGAAAGGCTAGGCAACGGCCGATATGCTTTAGGGGCGGGCAAGAGAAGCATCTTAGGAGGGAATGTCTCAACCCTTAGGAGCCATAGGGTTGAGCGGCCATTAATGCTGTAGACGGCCAGCTCAGAACGCGGAGATTAGGCTGGTGCAAACTAGAATACGTCTAGATGGATCAGGTTTAGATGCCACGTGGATGGTGCACGCCGAAATCAATTTATGCGGGTCGCACGATCGGCGTTCCTTTACTAATAACTGAGTCAATGTTCGACCAGGTGATTTTAGGCATGGACTTTCACCATGCGATAGGCACGAGGATAAGTTGCGGAGACAGTGAGATGACGCTAGGAACGCCGGATAGACTGGAGATAAAGGAAGGGGTGACTGGTTGGCGAAGGCGATCCCTGAGGTAAGGGTTAACGATTCGACGGGGGGCGGCAGTCCGTCCCGCAGAGTGAATCCCGGATGCGAATAGGGATTGTGTGTTTCAGGCCTTTTATTCTGCGGGGGCGTAATCCTTCTGTGGCGGAGTTATCACTACAGTTGTCTAAACCCCTTTCAACTGTACCTGTCTACTGTCCCGGCAGACTAAAAATTTCTTTTAGAGTGGACTTGGTAAGACAGAGTTTTATAACCCCGGCTAAGATACTACTTTACATTTTCTGTAAGAACCAACAACATTCATAATAAACCATAATCAGAACAAATGCTCAAATGAAAAAAATGAAAAAAAAACAGACAACAAAATATTCAGTCCATGTTATTAATATGCGTATTGGGATACTGATCTAAGCTACTGCACTCTTCCAACTCATTGTCATTTTTTCTAAGCACTGCTATTCCTGTGATTCGCAAAGTCACAAAGTCATGTCTTTTTCTTCTCTACTCGCTTTCAGCTTACAAGCATCCTGGCAGATTTTTATATAATAATTTGTCATCACCAAACTTCTACATTTGTAAATAAATAAATTATTATAAAAGACCCTATTAATAAATATTTAAAACATACATAGGAAAAAGAAAATAAAACTAAATCGCATAAGAGATAAAATTCTTTGAAATGTGACCACGTCATTTATGAAGTTAGAAAATAAAATATAAGCTAAACAGCATAAGAAATAAAATTCTTTGAAATGTGACGACATCATTTATGATGTTAGCGCACCTTGTGCGCTACCTTTTGAATGCCATAGCCTGCTGTCATTTGGCTTTTTACCTACTTGCTCCGGGACTCGGCTCTGCAAAAACAATATTAGAAGGCAAACTGTGTTGTTGTTGTTTCTTCACGCTGCGTTGTTAGAAAGAAAGGCAAGCCAGCAAACAACCACATTATTAGTCCCTCTCTTTGCACTGAGTTTCCCATGTCCTCAACATCTCGCAAAAGCATCTTTGTAAGATAAGAAATTTCTGGATATGAATCACATGGAGCGCATTAGTTCAGAGTTTATTGGCAGTGGCAAATATTTCCTCCCGCACCATTGCTTCTTGAAGGAGGATACTCCCCTATTGATGTGCTGATGGGACTAATTATAAAATTGTTTTAAATCCCGATCAGATTTCACACGTATCCAGTTGCTATTAGTGAGTTAATTCGCCTGATAGCTACTTTCAGTGCATCCTATAGGAATCGCCACAGAAAGACATTGAAATCTTCAAATTATATAATGTGACATATGATACCAAATCAGCATCCTTTCAGACCGTTTGCGACATGTACCAGTTGGCCATTGATATGTGTGAGGTATTTCCAGTTGGATTGGATGCCATCAAACAGGAGTTTAACGCAGACGATTT